GAAGATATTGGTAGTCTAAAAGAAAAGAAGTGACAAGTAAGAAGCTAAATCTGAGTAGGTGATAAGTATCTCAGATGGTCATAAAAAAATAATCAAAATCATGAATAGATAAATTCCTTAGATAGTCAAAAAGAAGAAGAATATTCAAAAAGGATTGACTTTTCTCTTTATATATATACAATTGTATACTTTTAGATATATTTTTCCTTTTATTTTTCTTTTCCTTTATTGTAATTTTCAAAATTAGTTCCTTAAAGGATAATTGGCAGTAGCAATTTGCTAGCAATGATGGATAAGTTGGGAGGATCTTTATCCAGAACTTATCTCAGAGTGAAATATTGTTTCCAAGATCGTATTTAGAAGTTGAAGCTCATTTGAGAATTGAAATTTATTGACAAGTAAGTTAGCATGAGATTTAGTTTAACCATGATATATTTGCCCAATGTATTACAAGCAATTTTGTTATTTATGATTAATAAATATACTATGTTAATCTGACTATAAGTATTAAAAAAAAAGAAGAAAGAAACCAATTAATTTTTTATTTATAAATAATATTGTCTGAATATGTATTACAATCAATAAGAGTTTATTTATATTTTACTATTAATATATTTTATATTAATAAATCAATTTTAACAAATGTTATATAAATTATATTACTTCAAAATTTAAAATCAAATCAAGATAAATAAAATTATTCAAAAAGACTAAAAAAATAAGCATTTGTAAAAATGTAGAAACAGTAAATAAAATTTTTTTAAAGATTTGTTTATTTATTTTTTATTATATAAAATCTCTATAAACATTTTTGCTTCAAGAAAAAAATTTTCAGTAATATATTATTGATTTTTTTTTTCTTTAAAACTTTCTTGCTATAGATAAAAAAAGATATTTCTTGACTTTTCTTAAACCATTGGAAGTCAAGTTTTTATATAAAAAGAAATGTAAACAAAAAAAAATAAAAATAAAAAGAACTCTTGAAATTGTTTTTTAAGTTGTTTTAAGGAAAATAACAAGACTTTATTATTCTTGCAAATATTTTTTTATGTTATTAAATAATTAACAAAAAAATTTTTAGTTACTTATCATATTATACTTATTTTTTTTTGTAAAATTTAAAGATTTATAAAATTATTTCAAAGATATGTTTTTTTATTCCTATTTAATTGTATAGTTCTGAATATCTTGTTTCTTTATCTTAAAATATCGAATTTAATATTATTTATTTTTAAATAGTGTTAATAAATCTTGACTACCAATTAGGAATAAAGACTATTTATTTATTGATGAAGACAAGGACTTTGCAATGCACTTGTAATATATGATGCATTTACTAAAGTTTAAAATAAAACTATCTTTTATTCTAATCTTAAATACATTATTATTATAACAGATTCCGCCTATATTGATTAATTCTGTGGATAATCAAAATACTGTATACCGACATACGATATACAGTATTTGATTTAACGTATTAACGTAATTAAACGAATAAAAAGGATTCTTCTAATAAATAAAGAATTTGTCATCCATCCATTGATAAATTAAAAATTCTCATAACCAGCAATCAAAGAATTAATTTATTATTGATTTTTTTAAATAAATACAAATCGCCATTTGCGACCGAACTGACATTTCAATTTAAGATTTTTAAAACCTTTTACTTGAATTTAAGTAAGATAAAAATGGGTTGTAACAATAGGATCATTAATCTAAAAGAAACAAGGCAACATCATAAAAAAAAAAAAAAAAAAAAAAAGATATTGTACACTAAACAAACGATAATATTAAATATTCAAATTAGATATTCTAATAATACTTCAGTGAATAATGTTTTTTTAGAGAAAGCAAAGTCTATATAGTAAATCCCTCCCCCAATGACAATCCAGAAAACAGGCAATCCCCAAATTACGATGATTTCCATTTCTTCCACTAACAGTACGTCAGCGGCACAGTTGATTTATCCTTCACGCCATTTTTACCACCGCTTCTACTTGACAACGACGTTCCTCCGTCAAATCCCGGGTTAGAACCGGTTTCACCCCGATTCCCATTGTTTCCCTTACCATTACCACTCATGACATTCGATATCAACGGATGATTGTCGGCAAACATGTTGACATCATTTCCATCGTTATGCAGTAGCATATCGTGTTGTTGCAACGGCATTGATGATACCCTCGGCACTTGAATGATGGGTGGTTGGGACGGGATAGGTGGTGAGGAGAATGCGAGATTCGGTTGCATCTGTTGAGAACTAAAGTAGGTGGTCCACTCATCTAGATTAGCGTTTGATGGAAAATTCCACAATCCGGTGCTCAGTGGGTCCAACGTACTCCCGTTTCCTCCCACCATTCCTGGTGCTGCATATGGGTCCGTATCACCTACCGGTTGGTTCTGGGGGTCAGCATTGGAGGACAAGGATGATATGTTTCGGAATCCAAACGAATTATTAAACATTTGCGCGGACTCGTCCAGACCGTGGTGTAATTGTTGCGGCGGTGATTGATTGAAAGGGGCGCTGAATCGTTGATGTTGTGATGTTGAAGTCGGTTGGGATGGCATGGTGGGGATTGAACCGGCAAAATTTATTAACGTCGAGATGGGAGCGTAAGGTTGTGAGGTATTCATTAACGAGGAATTTACCACATGCGATGAACTGTCCTTATCGTCGTGACCACTGTTCTTATGCGAAGGGATGGATTGATTAAATTGTGCTCTAAATCGTTCCTGTCTTTCATGTCGGTCAATTTCTCCCGATGAATACTTGTTGTTATTCGAGAAGTTTCCGCGCCTTCGTGAACTACGATTGGCGTCTGATAATAGCTCATCATCAGTTGATACACTCGGTTGCACATCTTTCAAATTCGCCAGACCCTCTAACATATTGCTGTATCTATGAGCCGAGGGCCAAACTTTTTTCAGATATTCCAACACTTTTCTACTCTTGTGGAGATTTATTTTTGCAGGATGCGAGATCGAATGATCGGCTTGTGTTGCATTATACACGTGAATCACGGCTGCAGTGAATACACAGTATACGACTGGGTTTATACAGCGCGATAACATCTTCCGCTCTAACATCATGTCAGTAATCCTTGTGATTGCATTTGCAGCCGACGTGCATACATTATGCGATGAATTGTTGCTTGCCGTGTAAGGACGATGAAGTAGCATTAAAGTCGAATAATAGATGATGTGAAGGCAAAGCGTGGTTATGTCCGATGGTTGATCAGATGATGGATCGTATTGGAGATGAGGTGGCAATGTGCTGAACCACTTGTTAAGTGCCGAATTAAGAATAGTGAGCACCGTTTCGCCAGTGGTTTGCAAATTATTTCTGATGGCATAGACATTTTGTATAATTGCACCCGTAATCTCGCCGAGTTTAATCAGGCAAATGAACCTTGAAATTGAATGCGACACCTGTTGCGTTGAAGCGTTGGCAGGAATGGGCGATCCACTGGACGTTGAAAGAGGTGATGAGGAAGACGACGCTCGCCCGTGATCAATCTTAAATGGCAATGGGTCATACTCATCATCATCATCATCCGACGGATAAACGACATCCACATCTTTCTCATCAATGGCCAATGGACGTCCTAGATGTGCACTCGGAATTCTAATCATTCATTCAAAGGCATCACGTCAGTGTCATATTGGTGATAAATTGATGATAGATGATCGCAAGAATCTCTTTACAAAAAAAAGGAACATTCGTGAAACTTCTTTCACTGACCTATCAAGAACAAAGCAAGCCCAAAACACTCGTTTTCGCTCTTCAATTTCATCGTGTGTCTGTTGATGTAAACTCCACTTTTCGCTATTACGATGCATGCCCAGATCTTGTGCCATCCGTGCTGCCATACCAGCATACATCCATCCCCTGGTAACTCTAGCTGCACCATACTCCCTTATCGACAACACCACCAATGCCTGAACAGTTGTCACTCGTGCTTTATCGTATTCGTTGTCAAGTAATGCTTTCGCTCGATCAAAGAAAATATCACCGGCTGAGTCAGAGTCATCCGGATTTTTTCTTAAATTCGGGTTATCTGAGAATCTCGCGGCATATGAGTAAATGGCGTTCAATAACAACTGCGGCAAATGTTCCTTATCCTTCAATTGATCAAAAAAGCGCGGTTTATGAATAACCGGCAGTATAGGATGTAAGTGAGTGAAATAAATTTCCAACAGGTGATTAGAAAGATCTTCAGTTGGTAAATCCATCAGATCTGATCGTTTTACCAAATTATAATTTTGAGTAGAAGCAATCATTTCACCCGGATAACTTGAAATTGATAAAATACCATCCTTATAGCGATCGCTTTTCCTTAACAGATAGAGGCCACTACTTCGTCCGTGATAACGAATCTGACGATTCTCATCTATACTAATAATTTCCATGACTTTATTAAGATCATTAATCAACAAGCTATCTTTTCCATCAGCCGTAGTTTTCGTGTTTGGAGAATTTATTATATTCAAAGAATCATCACTTCCAACGTGCCCCACATTACTTGTACCATCCGAACCATTACGGTACGAAATGAAATCAAATTTTTCCGATTTACTCATATCACCTTGCATCAGCTCGGTCAATATGGCTTGAGCGCGTGGATCGCTACTATGTACCAGACCACCCAATAAAGATTCCATCCTATGAAGACGGGTTTCAATGGCTTCGATGTAGCCCTTGGGTGGTCCTCTGTAAATTGGGGTCATGATGATAATTGTAAAATGTTAATATTCAAACCAATTTTTCCAAGAGAACAGTTTTCTTCGGATCGAACTCACATACCTCTTTTTAGTAGTATCATTATAAGTACATTCTAGATTGAAAGAAGAACAGTTGCCACACACAGGTAGAATACCATCACACTATGAAGTCCCGCAAGATTTGAAAATAAAGTTTTAAAAGATGTTGTACACGGACGCGACGAAGATATTGGCACCTATTTACCTTGACTTTCTTGCGACGACAGGAATCACAAGCTTTGGAAATTCGTTGTCGTTTGTAAATGGCGTCGTCAGGCATAACTCGTTGGAAAATTTGCAAGAAAGAATATTCTCTGGACTAGAAAATCGCACACATGCACAAATGCTATATTGCAAGGGTTTAAGGTTGTGATACAACCGTGCTTTAATAAGGAAAGATGGTTTTTAATATCAAAATATCAAGTGGAAATGTATGCACTTGAGTGATACAAAATATCTTGATTGACCATTAATATGTTCAACTTTACGTAATACGTATGTATTTGAGGTTTAAATCGCCTTTAAGATATGTTTGCTCGATATAACGTGTTAACAAAATATTATATCATCGTACATGATGCTATCAAAGATTCTATTTAAAGCTTTGTCATTATGATTACAAATTCACGGCAGCATATGAGAGAACGAATTTTTGAAGTTAATCCCTTCTTTCGAAAGAGTACAACAGGATCTCCCGTTCGCCGCCGTCCTGTCGTGTAATGATGTGGTGCTGCCGCAGCCGGATTCTGTACGTGAGACCGCGGGGAGATGGGATTTCCATTTAAGTCCGATTATTATTATTTTTTTTCTTTAAAGTATAGCAGTTATTAATTTGGACTAGTTACCATTCATTATATTATAATTGAAATTTGAATTAGTGCATTAAAAAAAAAAAAAAAACTTAATTTGCAGTATATACTGTAATTCAATAAAATTACTATTTACAGTATTAAAAATTTCTTTAATAATACTATTTAAAAAGAATAATAATTATAAGGTAAATATAAAAAAATTCTATTAAATAAATTAATTTAAATTTTTAAAAATAATTGATTCTTTAATTATATATAAAAAAGATATTTACTATTTATAAAATCTTTTGATTTTTTGATTAATAAAGCCTTAACACTATTTTTAAAGCAAATTGAAAATATATTCAAGAATTATTATATTGTTTTTCTTTTATTTACAAATAGTCTTTAATTAAAAATATAATTTTTAATAAACAAAAAAAAAAAATCAAATAATATTTTTATTATTAAGAATATAAATTGTTTCTATTTTTAAATAAACTATTATAAGATTTAAAAAATTCTTTCCACTAATCCTTTGACCACACATAAAAAAGATGTTTGCAAAAAGTTTTTTTACTTTTTTGCTAATAAAGTCTTAACACTATCATTAAAACAACTTGGAGT